TTTCAAGCCTTGTTCAAACAATTATTCTTTGCTTGAACAGAAAATTAACTGCTATTTCAAAGGGGTTTTCACATAAAACTTGAACAGTCAGGACTAAAGCGGTCCCAGACCCAAACCGTGACATTCAGTGGTTGAATTTCCTGGATCTACCTGCACACTCCATGGAGCCTTTTTGATGCTTTTCATATACACTATAACCAAAGAAAATGAAGGTGTAGCAGACAGCACTCTCTTAACCACACAAACTGAAACCAACCTGAGTCATATTCTTCTTGGGAAACCGTGGACAGAAATGCTGAAGACCTCATGTTCACAGAAGTTGTTGCATGTTGCCCTTCTACTGCTAGCTGCTATATTTGCATTGCCTTTTGTGTCTGGCCTCTGCAATCCAGTTCTAATAAAATCAATATAGGATGCACAGTTCATAACATGAGTTAAATTACCAACTTCATCTTTGCATATTTAACCAAAATCTAAAGTTCAGACATATATGTATGTATGTATGTACGTACTGTATATGTTTCTGTATGCATAGATACATGGATAAATACATACTCTTCACAAAGAGTACACTGGCACTATTATTTTGGACATGTCCTGTGGAAGAGTGCAAAAACATTAACTTTCCAGAAACTCAGTTTACTTTTCATGATGGAAGGACCTGGATAGAAAAAAGAAAAATAAAGAAAAAAAAGACTGCTCTGGTTAGCCAATTTCTAGGCTCAAGCATATCTTACAGCGCCAGGCACAGTATAACTTTCAAGATACAAGACAGTGCCGGGAGAAGAGAAGATTGTAAAAGTACAATCTTGAACCAATAGCTTCACGTAAGACTACGTGCTCAGGACAACTGTAACACTGCACTACTCCTGATACCCAGAACGGCTGAGTCAGCCCAAAGCACAAAAAACTTGCATCTTTATGTAAGGTGCTACTGACACTGCAAGCCAAATTCACAATCAACAAATACTGGGCTGTTAGAATAGCTTAACACTCATCTCCCAGTCGCTTAGCAAACTCTGGTGAACAAAGTTAATTCATCTCAAAGTTTTGAGAGAATCTATGAGGAATATATGCCTCAACTGTCTAATTAAATACAGCTGAAATGTAACTTTCAAGTTGGATTACTTCAAGTATAATATCAAAAGCATCATTTACTGTGAAAATATAGCAAGCAATATATTCTAAATTGTTGAGGGAACTATATCTTGTTTCGTGCTAAGAGTAGGCATTAAGCCCCTCTAGTAAATAGAAATTTACTTTTTTAAACATAATGCAAGTGAAGGATAAACAAAGCTTGTCAGCAACAGCAAAAAACATTACAATTCATGCTATTAGTTCAATGGAGTGCTCAATTATAAGCATATTTATGTAAAGAGTACCCTTTTATCCTCTTCTGCCCCAAAAATGAGAAAAGGGTTAGAAGACCATTATTCTACCAATGCTATTGTGCACTCCTGTAGTTTAAAACAGAGAGAAAGAGAGAGAGCAGCCCAAAAGGATGATCTACTCAGTCAAGAACACTTGATAATGAGAAATAAATATTTAAGTATGCAAGCTACTTTTAAATCACAAAAACCAGGTATCCAATGGGAAAAACAAGATTTTGATGCAGCTTTAACTGAAGACATGCTAGCACAACTGAGACTGTAACCAATTCAGGAGCTACCTACCATACATGAAGTGATAAATTTATATTAACCTACATGACACCTCTTAGGTGTTTACATTAAGTAGAAAACAATGTTGGAAATTGTGAAATGATTTAAGAACAGATTTCATAATACACATAAACCTTACTTCACTTCATGTATGCATGATCCTTTATAGCTGGAAGAGCCCTGGGACGTTGTCAGATCCAAAAAAATTAACATGCCTTGAGAGCTATGTTTTAATTAAAAGTTATCTAAAAATACTTTTACAAAAGCATAATAATTTTAACTGCAAAATTTTTCATTGTGTCACACTGTTGCATGCGTACAGCATCCTCGTAAAAACATCATCTTATTAACAGCCACACGTGCAGGAGGGCTACCTCAATTTTTATTTGTTAGAACAGTTACATGCTGGCACAGGGAAATTAAAATGCAGAAAGCTCACTACCACAAAGCTTGAAAAGAAAATGCTTAAAAATACATGGGTCAGATTAAGGTCTTCCTCTCTCAAGTCAGCTTCTCCTGCTGCTCACTCATGCAGGGAGATCATAATTTTTTGGCTGTGATATTTCCACGGCAACACTGGTGACAGTGATGTCACAAATTCAGGCCTGACATAGCTTCAGGATCAAGTACAAGGAGCAGATGGGATGCGAGGGAGAAAGCCCTATTTAAACACAAATCTCTTTCATAAGAAAGAAAGAGGCATGAGCAAAGAAACAGGTGAATGGATCACGTTTTCAAGTATGATATATTCAAAAGATTATCCTAGCATGAAAATCTATTTAAAGGCAAGACCTACAATACAGGGTAACTGTCAAATTTGTTAGGCCTTATAATAAACCAACCTGAAAGCTCCCTGCCGCTGTTTAGCATGACAAGCCTTGTGCTCCGTTTCTAAAGTGGTGGTAAAGACAATACACTTTTGTCCCTTGTGAGTTTCCTTTAAATAACTTCAACATTCAGATATATTAATTTCATACATCACTGTGCTCATAATACCATATGTAAATACGATGTCAAGTCCTCACTGGAGTGAGTTTGTTACCTGAATTAGATATAATATTTCAGAAGTTAAAAGGAACCCCAGATGAATCACCAAGTATAGCAGGGTGATAACTAGAATATTCAGCCAGCACAATTTGATTGTTAAATGGGGACTGCACTTTTATGCTGGTCTGCAGGCTCGCACAAGAATCAATGCAAGCTCCAGGCCAGCTGAAACCCTCCCAAACCCCACGCTGGTCACACGCTGCAGACTCCAAGACTACCAGTATCAGACCTCCTTTCTGCCTTTGGACACCCCACGGACAAACAGCAACTGAGCCCATGTCTGGCAGAAGGGATGACAGCATCATCAGTGGATGATGCGGAAAAGTGGAAAAGAAGAGGGTGCACCCACATACAGTCACAAATACAGTCTCCACATTAACTCAGGTCACAGTTCAATGAGGTATACAGATTTCTTAAAGGTGCTACACTCCACAGAGGACAACTGATAAACAAAACGAAACGCCCACCGAGGGAGGCCAGAGAAGTGGCTATGACCAGAACTCAAGCGTAAATGGTCATCCACAGAGCTGCAGGTAATGAGAAGTGGTTTCTTACAGCAGCAGAGGCAGAAAGTTGCAAAACAAAAATCAGAAGTCAAAAGGGAGATAAAAGGAATTAAAAGGATATAGATCTGTGTTCCGATAACAGAAGAAAAAAGCCCACATTTTTCAAGATTTCAAGATGAAGGCCTGAAAGGGTTATCAAGAGTCTAGCACTCAGGATGGAAAGAAAGAAAGAAAGAAAGGGAATAAAATCTGCAGGTTGAAGCTGGGCCTAAGCAGAGCTGTGAACAGGCCCCCAGGAGGGGATGTCAGGTGGAGGCAGAGACCAAATGCACAATGCGAGGAACAGTTCAGAAGTCAAGTAGCTAAGCAGGGTTCACAGACATCATCTATGAAATTACTATGGTAAAAACTGCAAAAGGGGGAGAACAGAAGGTAAAATGTGCCATGACACAAACCAAAACAATGATCAGAGAGTTAGGAAAGCCCATCTGATTCCCCAAATCATGATTGTACCAACAGCAGATAAAAAAAAGCAGGCAATAAACTTAAGGATGCTGGCTGGTCACAAAAAAAGTGAAAATACCCAACGACTGCACCAGAACCAAGAGGTCATACCACAACTAAGAGAACAATCTTACAAAGAGGAGGAAAAAAAAAAAGCAGAGGAACTTGAGATATCAGTAATGGATAATATATAACACAACAGCTACAGAAAAGCCTGTTGGGATTGTCAGGAAAAGATCAAAAGAACTGCAATTGTTTAGCTTCAACAAAAATGTTTTTTGTAAACATAGTAGGCATGTACCCATGACACCACTAACAGAAATGTTAGCCGAAATTTTAAAAAAAAAGGGAATAGTTTGGGGCTATAAACTTCCACAGGCTTCTAACTTGTTAGAGTAGTAAACTCTGGAAACAACATCCATTAGCACAGTAGGATAAGAAATATAGGTAATTTTAAGATGTAGTTTATTGGTTTTACAATTGTGATTTGGGCACAGCTGAGCTGTCACAGACTAACATGACTACAACACAACCCCAACAAGACTTCTTCTCTCCCTGTGTTTTTATACAGCCAACAACCCCGGATGAGAATATGAACCAAGTTCCCTCAATGGACTTTCTAGAGGTCACTTCAATTTCAGCACTGGAAATCCCATCTTCTTTTTACCCAAGAGGAAAAAAGCCCCTCTCAGATAATTCTTGCACTACTACATCTCTTTTACCACGTGTTTAGAGAGACATCAAGCTGATAGCTAACACAAGCTCAGGTCAGTGCTCATCGCTATTTGTATCATGTATCAAACGAAAGCAGTTTCCAAACACAAGCTAGATAGAAAGTCTCTTTCTGCTGTTCAGAAAAGAACTTACTTTCTCCCTGTCACACTGATCAAAACTGGTAGACAGAAGTCAGTTATTCTGCTAAAATGAAATCTGATATGAAAAAACAACATTTTAAGACTTAAGAACTGTGGAACATACATTTAAAGTCCAAGCTTCGCAAATATTTCTCTCAGAGCAAAAATATTTTTACAATAGCCAAAATAAAAATATAAAAATAGAAAATAACAATAAAAAACAACAACAACTATGAATTAACACATAGATCAGATTAAAAGGCAATACAAGAACCATAGTCACTTTCCAATACAATCCCAATCCAACAGCAGTTGAAAACATATGGTGATACTAGATCAGGATGCAAACTATCTTTTTTCCACCTCTTTAGGTAGAATATATATCAATACATTTCCATAAATAAATATCAATAGGCATGGTATATTACCTTCATTTTCAGATGCTTGGCATTTTACCTTCAGTACCAAATCAAAGGTACGTTCTGGATTCTCCCTAGAAGAAGCAAACACAATTGATTGATCACATATATGTTTCAGATAGTGTTATATCTTTTCTATTCTATTTGTACATAATAAAATTTAAATAAATTAAAATTTCATTAAAATAAAATTAGAAGTGAGATTAGTTCTAAGGAAGAACAAAAAAAAAATCACATTTCCCTGCACAGCCTTAAAATAAGGAAGATCAACAAGCTAAACTGCGTAATTTATTTAAGTGACACCATCACTGCCTTATACATCAAATAGCTTTTAGGTCACTCCATCATATCAGGCCTAACAGCTGCAAAAAAAGTGCTACTAAAATCCTTGTCACTCAATCTGAAGCACATTAATGGAGTCACAGGCAGCCTTTTCTGAAGCTACATTTTATTTCTACTTAATAGGAATAGCCCATCATTAGACTTCGATATTAATTCCACAAATTTAGCCACTACCCTTTAAACGCATATGATTACCACCATAAGGCTGAGAATCACTTAGCTTCCTCTTTCACAAGATATTGATCATCGGCTTTGACTTCAAAGCCTAAATCTCAGGCGTGATTCAGTGAGAAAACATTAATGCAATGACTAGGGATGGACACAACCCCGAGCCAGCCAGGAAGACGGAGCCTTGGTTTCTGCAGCAGCCATCATGGTCAGCACTGTGTGATGGCCAATGCCTCTTTCACCTCCCCAGTAAATACACACCTGATAATAATGAAATTGTATATGCTAATAGCAATTACCACTCAACCTGATCCCAAGCTAAGTGTTTATTAAAACACTTCTAAATGCCATTACTATGCCACCCACCTCTCTCTGCCTACCAAGCACACTGCTATTTGTATTAAAAACAAGTGGTATAACCGCACCCATATCAATTATCTATTTAACCACATAAAAGGCTCACACTTCAACTCCCTTCTTGGGTAATGCTCCCACTAGAATTAGCTAGAGTTTTGGGCAAATAAAAAAAATCCAAGACTTGGTTCCAGGTTTCCAGAATGCTTCAAATAAAGCGTGTAGCAAATTAACACGCTGTTGTTTCGTTAAAGAAAGTTTTGAATGAAATCCAAAGGCTGAGCTTGGGAAAATTTCAGCTGTCACAAATTAATTGATTCAGTACGTGCTTTCACTGACCTCAGCACCATCATCAACTGAGATATGCAATTATAGTCTAATTCAGGTTATGGAGACATAACCCACCTCATCAAAATTTTTCCTTGCATTGTATTTTAAAGCATTTAGTTGGGAAAATCCTGTATCTACTGATCCTGTGTGTGGGAGATCAAATTCTGCTCTGAGTTACAACAGTCTAAATCCAGGATATTGGAGATTTACTCTGGTATTAAAGTCTGTCCATTGTTCCTCTGGCTGGCAAGCGGGTTCAGAATGAAACCGGTAAGGCTTGGCTTCGTTGAGCCACCTAGAAAAGCGAACCACAGAAAAGCTTCCTTTAAAAGAATTTATATCTCCCCGTGATGTTGTTCCAACCCAGGCACCAGATTTATACTCTCAGGCCATTTTCCCCTTCAATTTCTTCCTAAAACCCAGACCACACAGCACTGGGTTGTTTTAATCTGAATTGGTTAAAGTGTTACAAACACCGAAAGAGGGCTTCTAACTCCACTGCTAGCTGAATTACCCTCATGAAGATAGCCCTTTGAAGTAACAACTGGCTTCCGTCTTTCACTATAGCACTCTAAATCTGCTTTTGCACAAAAATGCTTCTAAGTTTACTCTTCACATCCCACTACACTTAGAAGTGTCAAAAATGTGTCAAACTAAGCTGAGAATTGTCAGACTGTCTCTCATCTCCTTTACAGCTACCCGGTGGCAGCCTCGCTTATTCATCATATTTTACACGGAGATTTTTGTCAATTCCTGAAACCCGTGTTTAACATCTTGGTTTCCAATGCCAGCAAGCCCGGGCGGCGGCTCCGGATGGGCGAGGCTGAACAGCAGTCCTTCCAAACACCTAAAAATCTCTTTCGCCCCTGCCACACCACAATGGCAAAAAGGTCTGTCATTACTGGAGAGATGAACGCCACAAACCTTAGCGCACCAGC